CCAGAGTGAACAATCCATTGCCCAACCTGTGTCCTAGGTAGGAGACCTCTGCAGACCCCATCTTGCATTTGGAGACCTTGACAGTGATATTGGCTTCTCTCAGCCTTGTAGCACAATGCCACATGGTACAAGTGATCTTGCCAGGAACTACTGAAAATAGCCAAGTCATCTAGATAGGCTTTGGCAGATGTTTGTAACCCTGCAGCACCTCGTTAATAAGCATCATGAGGGTTGTGCCAGACTTCTTTAAATCCAAAAGGCAACACCTTCAATTCCTACAAACTATGAAAGCAGATTTTTTTCCTGGGCATCAGCATCTAAGGGAATTTGCCAGTACCCATGAGTTAAATCCAGCATGCCTATGAATTTTGAGGACATGGAAGACAGAAAATCAATTCTCTGCTGTGCTAACACTTCCTATGTGACCTCAGGCAAGTCACTTTGTCCATGCCTCAGTTTCTCCATCTGTACAATGGGATATTTACCTTCCCCCACAGGAGTGTGTGAGGATAACTCTGGTAAACATTGTGAGGTGCTCAGACATGATGATCATGGAGCCACAGATGCAACTTTCGTGAGTTTTGCAAAACTATGTCTCCTCTCCGCTCTAGTTATCAATAGCTGGAGCTCAGCTAACATACGCCTCCACTCACTCTCGTAAACCTCTGACCTTTCTCTAGCTCATCTGCACTTTGCAGAGCTCTTTGCATATCCCGCTCAGCTGCCCTTTGTCTGAGATGGGCAGCTGCTTATGTTTTCTTTTATCACCACAAACAGCTTTGGTCGGAGAGCACAAAGGGGAGGGAAGTGCCACGACCACAACCGCGATGCTGCGGATGTGCAGCATCCAGGGTTTGGAAATGGCCTCATGCATGCACCAGATCTGCCTTTCTCGAGGGCAGACGAAAGGGAAGTTTAAATATAGAGATCAGCCCCCGGTGTTTGTAAGAAACGAGCAAGAGCTGGTGAGAGATAAAGACCGACAAGGAGAGAAATCGAGGCTGTAAGAAAAAGGGGCACAGATATAAACTCTGTTTATACTAGATACAGCGTCTGCTCCTGCCAAGCCTCACCTCAGAGGTAGCTGCATCTCAGTCCCAGGCATGGGATCCCTGTATAAACAGCCCCTCTACCCCACTCCAGAAGTGGTTGCATCTCAGCACCAGGGGAAGGATCCTTATGAACAGCTGGAGATCTCAGTTCTGGGTGATACATCCCTGTATGAACAGCCCCCACCCCAGAGGCGGCTGCATCTCAGTGCCAGGCAAGGATCCCTGTATAAACAGACCTCATGTCGCACCCCAGAGGTGGTTGTAACAGGTGGGAATTTTAAGGCAAAAGGCCTAGTGCAGAGAAGGCCAGAGAGAGAGAGACGTAGAAATAGACAGGGAAATGCAGAGAGTCCAGAACTCAGTGAGTCATCCTGGTTTATAACTTCCCCTGTTATAATCTGAACCCCGACCGGGGCCCTGAACCTCACTGCCCCCAGAGCCAAACCAGCATAGCGTGGGAGAAAGGGTTTTTTGGAAAGAAGATTAGGCTCTGACCATCTTTCATATCCTCATGCCTGTCAACCTGCAGAAGATCAAAGCAATTTCCAGGCTTTGTTTATTTATACAGGGACCCTCTGCCCAGTGCTGAGATGCAGCTGTTTCTAGGGTGGTGCACAGGGGCTGTTTATACAGGGATCCTTCACCCAAGGCTGAGATACAACTGGCTCAATTCAATAATTCTTTGTTGATATGCCAAACTATACAATGGCTACCAAAGTGTAAAAAGTCAGAGAGAAGCCCAAAAGTTGTGTGTGTGTGTGTGTTTTCTGGACACTTGTGTGTGGTGAGGGTAGTTATAGATGGGAAGGTCTCAGTGCAGATGTGTGTGGTTGCGTATGTGGTTCTCTCAGTGCAGTTCTGTCCATGTGGTACAGCTTTGTGTGTGGTTGTTTCACTGTGGGTGTGGGTGAGGTTGTATCAGTGGAGATGTGTGTAAGGTTGTGTTTGTGGCTGCCTCACTGTGGTTGTGTGTATGGCTGAGGGTGTAGTTGTCTCGGTGTGGGTTGTGTGGGATTGGCTCACTGTGGCTGTGTGAAAGGCTGCATGTGCCATTGTCACTGGCTTTGGCTCCACACACAAGTTGCCCTAGTTTAAGTGGTATTGTTTCAACCAAACCAGCACAGACCCCCTGAGTGGACGCTCTGACCTTGTGTAAGCGGGGGATGGTCCCGCTATTGTGAGGAACTTTCCTGGCTTATACACGACCCCGGTGAAGTGGGCTAGCAAATGGATCTGAGTCCTCGCTCCCACTTCCTTTACCCAAAGGCCTGCCTGACCTCGAGGGCTCCCCTTCCACTCTCCTGTGTGGCAGAGTCCTCGTAACCCCGACAAGGCTGGGCCCAGGATTCCTGGGGGGGCTCAACCCCCAACCCTGCTGTGGTCACTTAGGGCAGGGGCGAGGGTGTCCCCACTCCGGGGTGCTCTCCCCGCACTGGATGCTTCCCTGGCCCACTGATCATTACACACAATTCAAAGCAAGTACAGTTTATTAAACAGCAATCAATTCAAACATTTAAGGAAAAAACGGGAAAGGTGAAAGGAAAACACACCACCCCGCTCTGTGGCACGGGGACACCACAACCAGTGTCTCTGGGATGTCCGGGCAGTTCAGTCTGTTCCCTACAAGCCCCTGCCCAGGCCCCGGCTGTGATGCGGGGACGCTGCGGGTTGGACACTTGCTCTGTCGGTGGCCACACGCTCTCAGGCTCTAGGTGGCAGGACCCTTCTTCCCAGCGTCGCCCCCGCCCTGACAGGGTTACAATCCCCCTCCATGTCTGGCCTGCAGAGCCTCTTGGCTGGGGGCTTCTCCCTGTGCTGGGCCCACTGCCCAGGGTCCCGCTCCTCTCCCCAGCTGCTCACCGCACCCAGCTCCGGATGGCTCCAGCCCCAGCCCCAGCCCCAGCTCCAGCTCCAGCTCCACTCGGCCTCAGCACGGCTGCTGCTGCTCTGCCTCCAGCTCCCTGGGCTGCTTGTCTGGCCCCCTAACTCCGGTGGCTGCAGCTCTGCCCCCAGTGCAGGTCTGCTCCCTGGGCTGCTTCTGTGACTCCGCTCCCAGCACTGACCTGCTTCTCTGGCCCGGCCCTGCTCCCCAGCTCCGCTCGGGCCTCTGCTCTCTCCTTAGCTCGGCCCCACTCTGTCTGACCCAGGCCAGTCCAGCTCACACCAGGACAGGACCCTCCTGACTCCCTGACTAGCCTGGCCCCCCGGTCAATCAGGCTGACCTGGAGCATTGGCCTCTCCCCATTGTTCCCAGGGACTGTCAGTCTCAGGGTCCTGGTTTCCCATCCACCCTTCCCCTTCCTTTTGGTACTGGGAGCGAGCCACCAAAACACCCCCACTGCGTTTTCATAAGGGGACAACAGAGCCCTGACACTTGGCTTAGGCGCGGCATATTGGCCAAGTGAAGCGAGTCCCTACACTCAACGTGCCCTGAGTGTGGGGGGCCAGGGGCCCGGCTGGATCAGGCGGGGGGCAGCCGGGTGGAAAAGCTTTGCCTACATAAGCATCAAAGGGGTCACCTTCTAGCTGCAGCTCAGCGTAACTGTAATCCTGGTCAGGAATAACTTTCTCCTGTAGCCGAGCCGTCGCTGTAGGGGTGGGTCTGTCTTTCTCTCCCTGTGACTGGCTGGCTCAGGGCAGTTTTGTACGTGCCCGTGTCGGTCAGTGTCGCTGGTGGTGTGTCTGTCTCTTTCTTTTTTCTTTCACCTGAGTCCTGTCCCCTCCCCAGGGCGGGTCTCTCTCTCCCTTCGCAAGGCACCAATCTCAATTCTCTTTCCTCTGCACTCAGCTGCCTCCTCGGCAATGCCCTCAAACCTCCCGGGACACCGGTCCCAGCAGTCAGCCCACCTCCAGCTTCCCCCCGTACCCAGCCCAGGATGGACCCCTTGCATCTGCTCATTTACCTGGGCACAGGTGAGTTGCCAGCCGGTGAGGTGGGGAAAAGCTGGGGCCCTGCGTGCACCTGCTCATTGCCTAACCTTCGGGAAGGGGAAGGGGAGCAGCTGGGCTCTCAGGACTCCTGGGTTCTGCCCCCAGCTCTGGGAGGGGAGTGGGGATACAGCGGGGAGCTCAGAACAGTCCCACAGCCAGGAGGGGCTGGCCCCTCAGCCCCCACCAGTGGCCCCTTCTCCATGGGGAAAACTAATATATGTCTGTTTAACCCCTGCAGCGCTGGCACCGAGCTGTGGATTCAGCGTGGATGTGGAGGGACCCATCACCTTCCAGGAGGCAGCCAGGGGGTTCGGGCAGAGCGTGGTGCAGTTCGGGAGTGCCAGAGCCGGGGGGTAAGGACCAAACACAGGCTCAGAGCCCTACGTTACGTGCCTCATATCCACCCCTGAGGGGCCCATCTGGCTGGGCTGCCCTGCCTGAGCCCCACCACCCAGGGGTGATGGGGCGTCCCCTGAGCTGCTCTCTCCCCCACAGGCTGCTCGTCGGGGCCCCGCTGCAGGTGGGAGACGTGAATGAAACCGGCAAAGTCTACAAGTGCGACCCGGGCTCCAGACGCTGCCAGGAGATCCCCATCCAGAGTAGGGGCCCCCTGTGCTGTGGGATCCAGTGGGTTAGAGCAAGGGGGTCTGGGAACTAGGACGCCTGGGTTCCATCTCCAGGTCTGGGAGGGGAGTAGGGTCTAGTGGGTGAGAACAGGGGAGGCTGGGAATCAGGACTCCTGGGTTCTAATTTCCATGCAACAATTTGCCATCACTTCCCCCCAGTGTGTGTGGAGGGGGGGGGATGCACAAGGGAGAGGGGGTGCGAAATGGCTCAGAGATATGCAGGACTAAACATATCCAGTGACAAGGTTTCTCACCCTGGTGTTGGCGTGTTTCTCCTCTCAGGGCCCCCCAATGCCGTGAACATGTCCCTCGGATTGTCTCTGGCTGCCCGGGGCTCCAATCTTCTGGTGGGTACCGCCCCTTGGGGTGTGGAAGCGGCGCGGTCTGTAGGTTGTATCCAGGGGGTTGTGTCAGTCTCTGTCCCTGTCCCCCAGAATTCCACGGGATTCTCTTCCCCCCAGCAATGGGAGCGGGATGACTGTGCACCCACCACACGCCAGATGGGTAAAGTTACTACAGGACTGGAGTGCCTGTGTGCTGCTGTCATGGCTGGGTGACACCGGGGGCGGGGGGATGGGCTGATATCACAGGAGTGGGTGATCTTTCCACAAAGAAAGATGGCAAGTAGAGGGTGGTCACCGGATGATGTCACCATCACCGGAACACAGCATTGTTACTATGGTGAGGGATGAATGACAATGCGTGTGTAGGCAGGTGCTAACCACTAGAATGACTGGGCCATGGCCTTGTGCAGAAGATGGTAACTAGATAACAATGGTGTGACTATGGAGAGGGTGTGATGTTTGTCTGGGGGATGGTGGGACCCAGAATGGTGCACTGAAACAGCAGGGAGGAGGAGAACATCGCCATGGAGATAGTGACTGAGACGTGATGTTGTGAGGGATGGGGGTAACCGGGTGACATCGCCATGGGGACAGTGACTGTGCGATGACCTTGTGAAGGGTGGGGGTAATTGGGCGATGTCACTCTGGGGACAGTGACTGGGCACGGCCATAGCAGGGAGCGTGGTAACTAGGTGATGTCTCCCATCCTCTCTCTGGGAGGCAGGTGCTGGGTCCTGGAGTCCTGTTTGCCCCATGGAGTCCCTGCCCTGGTGGGGCCATTCCCTGCATATCCATGGGGGGGGGAGCACACTCCCGTCACCCCCCAGTGCTCTCCTCAGGGGGCGCCCAGTGACCCCATCCCTCTCTCGTGCCCCAGGTGTGCGGCCCCACGGTGCACCGGGTCTGCGGGGAGAACATGTACGTCAATGGCTACTGCTTCCTCCTGGACCAGAGCCTCCGGCAGCGCCAGCGCATCCCGGACACCCTGGCAGGTATGGGGCAGCCCTGGGAGCGGCACCAAGGGGCCACCCATGTGGGGGGGAAACCGGGCTAGGTGGGCCCTTTGATCTGGTCTAGCTCTTTCCACTGAGTTTTCTCCATGTTGGTGGCGTTGAGTCAGGATGTATTTCTTTTCCGTCCCTCTCAGAGTGCCCCAGACGTGTCACAGACATAGCGCTCCTCATCGACGGCTCGGGCAGCATCATACCAGAAAACTTCAGAAAGATGAAGACGTTCATCTCTGAGATTATGAAGCGTTTCCGCAGCACCGACACGCAGGTAACGGGCAGAGGCTGAACCCTACTTACCCTGAGTCCTGCCTGAGGGCGAACTCCCAGTCCCCAAAAAGCAACAGAGGGTCCTGTGGCACCTTTGAGACTAACAGAAGTACTGGGAGCATAAGCTTTCGTGGGTCAGAACCTCACTTCTGAAGAAGTGAG